TGTGTGTGTGTGTGTGTGATTGGGTGGGGGTGGGGGGGACGACCCATCCCCCACCAATCAATCAATCAATCAATCAATCAATCAATCAATCAAAAAAGACAAAAAAAATCGATGTGTTTTGAGTCGGGTAAGGTTTTTGATTTTTTTAAAATAATTTCAATGCTAAAAAAAAAATAAAAAAAAATGGGATGTAGAGCAAAAAAAAATATACACCCCCGTATTTTTGTTTTGTTTTTTTGCCTTTTTTTTGCCCGCGAAAAAAAAATTCGCGGGCCACGTTGTAACGCGGGTAAACGCGACATTAGATCGGGGTTTCAACGGCCGTTGGTCCGTTCAACAGGAAACCCCCGTTAAATCCCTTTTCGGACACATAGCACACTCCTACGCTGACGAAGAAGTCCGCAGATTTAACAACTCAAGAACTTGCACGAGCAGGTCCTCTACCTTGTCAGCGTTTGAGATGACCAGGGGAACATGCTCGCAGCCATCGGTGGTATGTGTGGCTTATACCAGGGTTTTTCGGTAGGAGTAAAATCATAACACACACACACACACACACACACACACACACACACACACACACACTCGATACTACAGTACAGTACACTACGCTACACAGATACACACACACACACACACACTCGATACTACAGTATAGTATAGTACACTACGCTGCACAGATAGAGCTCGTTTTTTTATGAAATAAGTGTAGCCTCGTCAGGTTCTGAGTGGAAATTAAAAAAAAAAAAAAAAAAAAAAAGCTAAACAATACCTCATATCCGGAGGTCTGATGTTGTGCGAGTTTCGGATGGGCAAAGCAAGCATTAAAAAACGGCAGTCTGCAGACCACGGCCCCCCGCCTCCAGCAAACCTGGCCTGCCAGTTTCCAAAGCCGTGCCACGTTTTTATTCCCTTTCTTTTTATACTTCTCGCCCGCATGACTGACCTGCCAGTCCGTGTTTTCGTTTCCCATCCGAAACTCGATCGTGATTCGTGACTGCTTGTCACGATTGGAACTCGGCGACTCGCCAGGCTCGTCCTTACTCCCTGCTTGCCAAGTTTCTTCACTCCTCGAGTCCTCGACGATTTTGTCTTCGTGGCGGTGACCCTATTCCGCTGCATTTTTTCTCTCACAGGTTTTCCGGATTCAAGTCAGGCACTCCAACTTCAAATGCATCCAGACTCTGAGTTCTCCTCCTAGTATGTGTGACCTTTCTCAATCCTTGGTTAGTTTCCATTCTATCATCATTCTGCGGCTTTCTCCCTTTGCTGTCTAGGCTTCGTGCGAAGCGGCAACGCGCCCAAGCGCTTGTCTTTTTGCCCTCTCTCAAGCTCTCTGTGAGCTTCAATCTACCACTTTTTCCGAGGCAATTTCCTCCTACTCGTCCTCTTCACTGTTCTCTCCTCACTTCGTTCTTTGTCCCCCTTACTTTTTCGTTTCACCTTTCTTACTGACAATAGTGCGTCTCAAGAATCTACCGTCCAAGAAACCGTGAAGTCGTGATCTCTGCAAGAGATCCATCGCATCACGGCTGATTGATTATCATTGTCCTTGGCTTTTTTTTTTCTTTCTTCTTAAAACGTCATGCTATCCTGTCTGACTCTGACGACCGTCAGGTTAGGCTGCGATTGGCTACCGATGTTGCCATGTAGGTAGGACCTGTCTCTTATACACATCTAGATGTGTATAAGAGACAGGTCGTGATCTCTGCAAGAGATCCATCGCATCACGGCTGATTGATTATCATTGTCCTTGGCTTTTTTTTTTCTTTCTTCTTAAAACGTCATGCTATCCTGTCTGACTCTGACGACCGTCAGGTTAGGCTGCGATTGGCTACCGATGTTGCCATGTAGGTAGGACTGGCGTCTGGGTGGGTGGGTGATCGCTGTGCGGAGCTGTGTAGCGGTCGCAAGTTGAAGGAAAGTCGTAAGCAACTAAAATCTCGGTGGAGTAAGGTAGACGAAAGTCGATGGCAACAGACCTATTCTCGGTGTTCTGCAGGAGGTCCGACCTGGAGATCATGACAAGATGTAGTCGTAAAGATGGAGTCGTGAGAGCTTGCTTCCAACTTACAAACAACTGATCAGTATGCTTTCAAAACTCTGCCAGGCAGTGCCAGCTGATCAGCAGCATGGACCCCGACTCGCGCTGCATAAGTAGTAAGTGTTCGTCTACAGGATTTTATTTTAAAATCGTTTTCTAACTTTTCTTTTTACAAAAGGACTCAGACGTTAACTTTTCGAGAAGAGTCCGACTACACGCCATGGGGGTGAAATGCATAAGATATATAGGTATATAATATATATATATATAAATATATATATATAAATATATATATGAAGTTGTTTTTTGGCAAAATTGCCTGAAAATGCACTTTTGAGTTGCTGTTTTATGTTTTTTTTTTTTTTTTTTTTTTTTTTTTTTAATAATATGTTAGTAAGAAGTGCACTCTATAGATTGGTGTGAAGTTTGCTTGGGATGGCCTTATGGTTTTCTTATAAATTGAGGTGAAAAATGAGGGGTCGATTAACCTTTTCTCATATATATACACACACAGAGAGAGAGAGAAAGAGAGTACACCCGCTGGAGACGAGCCAGTATTACTAAACCCCATGCTTCGACAGTTTTGGTTTCTTAACGCTCATTGGAGCTGGTAGAAACCGTAGAACGGTTTGGTGCGTGTGTGGGCGGAGGTGTTTCCATCATGCTTCAGCGTAGCTTTTCTTTTGTTTTTTATGGGCGGCCTGATAACGATGGTAACGTTTATCAGGCCGCCCATATAAACCAAAAGAAAAGCTGCACCGGTCTTTTTTTCCCTGCAATGATTTGCTCGGTTTCCGACTGTGCTTTTGTCGACAGGCTGACTACGCGCCGAGCTGCATGCCTCGTGCCTCCCTGCCTCTCACTCTCTCCATTAGATGACTTCCTTAGTAGAATGCTTGTAGCATCGGGCCGGTTATCATGTCCTTTTCTTTTCTTTTCTTTTCTTTTTGTAACGGGAAGTCGAAACGGAAAACTTAAGGTTGGTGTGACCATGAAGAGAATGGCTTTGCATGATCAGATGATGAGGTATCTATCTTTCTGTAACGCTCGCTACTCACACTGCATGTGTTCTGTTTTATTTTGTTCCTGTGCATGTTCGCCTTGCCCACGAGCATTTCCTGCCAAGCTGACCATCTGTCTGGAGGGCATGGTGTTTTTCATTTTCACTGACGTAAGGAGGTCGGCGACGGTCATGACAGCACAGGATCCCGTGCAAGAGCACGTAAGCAAGCAAGGACAGCGGGAGCAGCCACCACTGGGCCTTGTGCGGTAGCGCACTGAGCCTCACCCCACCCGGAAACCTCCGATCACGCGCTCAGCTGTGGTCGACTCTGACAAGTATTGGCCGGTCATGATGGCGAGGAGGAGGCGACCTCGCAGTTGGACGCCTAAGCCACACTCCTACACTGACGCGGAAGTCCGCAGATTTAACAACTCAGGAACTTGCGCGAGCAGGGCTTCTACCTTGTCAGCGTTTGAGACGACCAGGGGAACATGCTCGCAGCCATCGGTGGTACCACTGGTAAGTGTGGCCGATACCAGGGTTTTTCATGAGGATCAAAATCATAACTCAGCTGTCAGACAGTGTGCAAAGGTGAACTGCAGGATGGCAACGAGCTGGCCGAACCGACATCCTCTGGCGAGCTTTCCACCTAACGCTGCAGCATCGGACTTAGGGTCTTGCTAGACACTCCTAAAAGTTCCTATTCTTAGGATTGCGTCTTCGTTGCACGCAATCCTAAATCCAATTTTGAGATCGAAAATGTGAAAACGGCGTTAGGACCAGTCCTAAAGGATTTAGGATTCCCCAGGCAAAATCGTCCTAAATTTTCCAGTAGCCCCCGACCGACTGAAAAATTTAGGATTCCCGCGTTTCACGGACTCGTTGCATCGCGCGCATGGCACCGTCGCCACAGGGTTGCTGGTCCAGGAGCGGTCCTTCGGGTGGGTGGCCGGACATCAGAGGTTTTCTGCGGGTCGAGGCCGGCAACGGCTACCAGCGGTAGCCGTTGGCCGCCGGGGTGCAGCGGGGGGGAGGGGGGTGACCGTGTGCGGGCTGGCGTCCGTAGTGGACCGTTGGTTCGGTTGCAGGTGACGGAGGAGGACGACGACGTGCGCGGGACACTGTACGGAGGCGTTTGGGGCGGTGCGTGGTCGGCAACGATCGATTTTCGAATCGTAGGCAGACAACTTTGTCGTCTTCTGTGCTGGTTTTCGGCATATGAAGGTCGAGTGGCCCTATCCCCCGGCATGTCAGAACACTCTTCTGCAGTAGTCGCGTGCGAGGGTGGCTCCCGAGGTGAATTTCATGGCTGACGTGCAGAGGAGATTGCCTCTGCTTGTACTCGCTGTCGTCGTCGTCTTCCTTCACGTGTGTTTGTCGTGGCGGACGTGGAAACAACATCGCAAGAGGAGGGCTTCAACGAAACGGGCGGCAGGGGAACGTCCGATGGCGGGCATGCAGGCACGCGCAGGTGTTGGTGCAGGTCAGGGCGGAAGACGACCTCCGACTGCGGAGCCTGCACGGCGGTACGACCCATCTCTGTACAGCCATCTCGACTCGTGGGAGACGCCACTACCCCCGTCGGACGAGGACCCGGAGACATAAGAACTTTCGACGTTGCCTCTTGCCAGCGGGTCGACGCAGTTGTTGTCGCAGACGGTGCGAGCATGCGGGTCGGCTAGCAATGAAGGCGGCGAGTTCACCTCACTGGTCACCAAGGCTTGGGAGACGACGAGGACGGGGGACTTGATCTCAAAGTTGGGTTGTGTTCTGGCGGCGCTAGGGAGGCGAGCCGCAAGTTCATCATCGACGCTGATTCTTCGCCATGTGGCGTTCAACAATCTGGAAGTCAGCATACGGAGCACTCCACACTTCGTGGCGGTGCGTCCGTTACTGGCGCAGTCTGGCGGTGTCGAGCCATCGGCAGTAGGCCGGTAGCATGGATCGAGTGCACCGTCCGCCGATCGATGGACAAGTACCTGCCCCGCATGCAATGGAGTAGCAACCGGGTCCCTGCGCATCGGCGGTGCACGTCCTTCGATGCCCAAACGCACAACGCCGACCCAACCCGACCTCAGGGACGACAGCGCGTGCAGACCAGTGGTGCGTCCAACACCCACTGTGGAGAACATCACACGAGGAGTGTCAAACATGCGGGCACACAACGATGGCGGTGACGATGATGGTGGTGGCGGTGACGATGCTGATGAACGATTTAGGGAGGACGTGGAAGCAGGGGACGACGACGACGACATTCCTATTCGGCCTTTGGGGAAGACGGGTGGGAGGGGGAGAGGGCGCAGCAGAGGTGTTGTTCGTGGCCGATCCGTTGGCCGTGGGGGCAGAGGTGACGTCAGCGACGACGGCGGGAAGTCTGGGACGTACTGGTCTCCGGAAGAGAAAATGCAACTGGTGAGATGCAAGCGGGAGCAAGAGATGCACCTCGCCGGGCTGGGTCACAATTACGGGTGGATGCGGACCAAGGAGTGGAAGTGGGACGACATTGCGAAGCGCATGGCGAATGTGGGGAGGCCTAAAGACACGGACGACTGCATGAAGAAGTGGGACAATCTCTTCCAAAACTACAAGAAGATACAGAGGTTTCAGAATGCGAGTGGCCGGCCAGATTTCTTCGGGCTATCAAATGAAGAAAGGAAGGAGCACAACTTCAAGTTCTGGATAGAGAGGGCGCTGTACAACGAGATCCACGCGGGCATGCTGGGCAACCACACAATTTTCCCTCCCAACGTCGCCGACACCGGAAGTCCAGACGGTGTGTAGCTGCCCAGGCGAGGAGCGGGTGTTGGGGAGTCTGTTGGTAGTGAGGCCGCTGGTGAAGGCTTCCCTGAAGAACGTTCCTCTACGAGGGACTCCGACAACAACGCAGCCAGCGGGGCTGTAGGCGGGAAGCGGAAGAATGCGCGTCAACAGGCGTTGGAGTCGATTGCTGATGTCATGGACCGCCATGGCGAACTGATGTCGTCGACGATCGAATCGTCTAGCAAGCGGCAATGCAGCATATTCACGAGGCAATGCGACATACTCGAGCAGGAAGTTGCAGTCCAGAAAGCGCACTATGCGGCGTCCGATGAGACGCAGAGGATGATGTTCCACGCGCTTATGGAGATCGTTACCGCCATCCGTGGTCGGTCGGCGATGTAGGGCGCACGTTGTGTGTGTGTGTGTGTGTGTGTGTGTG